AAACCTATAGAAACACTACAGAAAAGGGAAAACCCCAAAGGCACATTAGGGCCCCTTTAATATAAATTATAAAAGCGTAGGAAAATCTCGAACGAAGGACAACTTTTACATTATTTTGAAGAAAATCCAATGACTCCCAAACAGGACCCGTACAAAGTTTTCTGGCGTTTCCACAACTTAGCAACTCAGCTTTGCCTAGCTTGCAAACCGTATGAGGATATAGATTGCAAAACTTGCCTCAAGACTGGTGTTATTTTCCCTGCGCACATTCACATCAATATAAAACTGTCAACAGTGGAATAAAAAAGGGGAAACGGCTGACTAGGCAACTTTCACTTTCACAGCATGAAGGCTGCAGAGACTTTGGTCAGGTGACATGCCCCACATTTCCATCCAGCAAGGTCACACGCTGAGCAACTGGTGGCATGCCAGAGTGTGAGGCTCTTTAGTTAGTGTGTGTGTGTGTGTGTGTGTGTGTGTGTGTGTGTGTGTGTGTGTGTACAAGAACGGTGTCTGGCAAAGAGGCAAACACAACAGATGCCTGTGGGCTCCCAGCAGGGCCGCAGACACTGACCTCACTTTCAACCAAACGTAAACATAAGACAAAGTTCCTGGCTCAAAACAAACAAGCCGCACGTGCCGAGGGAGTTTCGGCGATGACAGCTTTTCAGTAAAGCCACGCTACACACACACACTGAATGTAAATTACAAAACCACATGCAATGGTGAGCAATGATCCTTGAAAAGCAAGGAGAAAGCAAGAGTGTAGTGCTCCCTAAAACGGTACAAACGAGCAAGGCTTAATGTAGCATACAGCCGGTTTTTCACTGGGAAAATCTGTCCGACATAATTAAGGCTCTGAAATCAAGCCAAGAGTCGAGTGGGGCGAAGTCAAAAAATAAATTACAATGTCAGATGATTTGTTTCACAATTTGTCAACCACTATTCTGCATCCAGCATAGGCAGTATGAGATTGAAGCATGAAAACAGTAAAAGCACAAAATACAAATGTGAACCAGAAAAGAAGCACAATAGGGTTCCTCCAAGTAACTTCTGTACTTCTACTTAACATTTGGAATTTATAGGGTTAAGGTAGTTATACTTTAAACTAGATAAAGAGTCACAGTACTTCTACACTGTTCCTGATGATCACAGTGTCTGGGAAATTGGTCAAAGTGGCCGTATTAAAAAGGTCTGTATCCATTCAACGCTGCTAATGACAAAGGTGAGTCTAAGATCACAATAAAATGATGAGGATCGCGATCATATTTAAATAACATGCAACTTAATGTTTGGTCTCAATAAACACATGATTACTGCAATTTCTTCCATTTGTCCAGTACATTCAATGCTCCCAGGACAGCAGCAATTAGTTTAATGAATCCCTGGCATTATGAAAGGTGTAAATCTACTAGTGTTTCTAAGTTTAACAGATGTTTACTAGCAGAGTCACCACATATATGGAGAGCACACTGTCATCATGCAGACCACAACATTGAACGGGTAGTCCATGTGGTTGAGGCTGCGATAAGCTCAGCGTGGAGTAGGGCTGCAGAGAACGCCCTTTTTTAAAAATCTTAATTTGTTTCTTGGTTAATTGATGAGTTCAATTGATTGGTGGGTCTATGAAATCTCAGAAAACTGTGGAAAAGGGGGGTCAATGCCACCTCAAGCACATGATGTCTTTAACAAGGTCACGGTTGGTCCACTACGCAAAGAGATTCAGTACATTTACTGTTTAGCAGAATAAAGAAACTAGAGATATTCACATTCAAAAAAGCGTGAATCAGTGAATTTTACTTATTGTTTCTAAACAAAGAAAAATATTAAAACTGATCAAAAGAGTTGGGTGATTTATTTAATATTAATCAACTAAAAGTATTATTTCCTGCATGTAGCATAAAGGGACTGCATTTCTGTGTTGTACAATTACAATAAATGAACCGCAATATTTCCACAGGCAAGCACTTTCCCCCTGTGTGGATCAATGAGTTAAAAATCAAGGATGCACAACTAAAAACACATGCACTTGCGGTACAATGAAGCAACATCATACATTAAGGGCTGAAGGAGTGAGTCATGCATATTTTTTTAAAATGCACAAGCAACCAACAATAACTCAAACCATACTTCCTATCAAACACCTGACGTAGAAATTCAAAACAGACTTCTGAGCATTTGCAGCAAGCCTTGGCCTACCTCTTATGATAATATGACGGTTACATAACGGAGCTCTCCAGCTGAGCACAACACAGACTTTGAAGTGACAGCAACTGCAACCCTTCCCCCCAGTCATCCTCCTCCCGTGCGCCACGTGCCGCCGGTCTGCCAGCCTGCTGAGCCATCTGACACACTGAACCCCTGACACACAGCCAGCACCAGACTGGCTGCAAAGCACTGAATAACAACAGCATCCACAAGGCAGGGAAGTCTGGACTGATATTCCCACGAGTGTCACTTTGTTAGGACCAGTGGTGGGGGCCCTTACAGATTTAAAAACCACTACTGCATTAAGCCAGCCTCCCCCCCCCCCCCAAACAACACATACTTACAATTTTTTTTTTTGACAACTAGTGCAGTAAATATGCTTCTGCAACAGTGGAACAACTATTGCTTTACTTTTCTCTATTCAATTATTACTAATATTGAAGCAGGTCCAAATTGCACCACTTGGGATATCAGAAACACACCCAAAAAGTGTGAACAGTCCTGCAGATTGTACATGTTCTCTTGTATACTTCTCAAAGTGTACACTTATTTGTGCAGGCTGCTTTCAGAACATTTTTAACAAATGATCCTAATGCAAAGTGGTAGGGACAAAATTGTCCATTTCCAAAAGTGGAGGGGAAATGTCCCCATCATCCCAAGTATAAATGACACCTATTGATATTCCCCATTTACAAGCACTTATATTTAAACATGAGTCAAGAAGACTGCAGGGTCAACTAGGTCATACTTATCTAAAAGAATCCGATGTGCTGCTAAGAATGACAGAAGTTGTCTAATAAATGTCATGCAATGAATGGAAGAACACATTTCCCATGGGTTGCATTGCATCTAGTTTTTTCTAAACAAGCCCCTGCATCCAAAAGATAAGCACCAAAACACTTGGCATAAAATCGGGAAGCAGTCTTTGTTTATTTACATGACTCAGTGACTCATTCATCCCTTAAACTGAGCTAAAATATCTCCTTCTCTAGCTAAATCATAATACGCTAAGGATAGAACATGAACTCCCAGAATAGCTTGTGAAGTTATACAATTTGTATATTTGAAAATGTGCAGTGGCAAGAGAATTTGGATGTGGTTCAATCTAATCTGGAAAATCCAATGTCAAGACTGGGAAACTAGCGAGACTGTTACAGTGAGAGTTGTAACAGATACCGGGAAAAACAACTAGACACACAAGAGCAACTTTATGTAAAGTCAATTTATATAAATAAATAATATAAATATGTGAATGCAGGTTTGTGATGCAAGACTGGGAGATTACATATGATATCTCTCACCGCTACATTGCAATGAAAGTATTATTTAAATACAGTGAAGATCACAACACAGCCTCAATACAAACAAACATCAAACGCTGAATATTATTGTCATGTCAAAGTGCTTAATAGCTGTGATGACCTGCACTAAGGCAATGCAATCATTGTTTTGTATTAATGCTTTATATGAATTTTCTATCAGCATTATCCTGCACAATCATCACTAATATCATTCTGCAGATTGGACCATTCTAGAATATTATATATTTTATTATGATTATTGATGCATTAGAGTGTCATCAAAGCTGCAGCTAGTTGTAATGACTTTGTATACTGCAGGGTAGCTTGTGAATTTACTCCAGGTTTAACTAAAGTCATATTTAAGAGTTGATTATATTTCACACCATTTATCCAGATCTGCAAAGTAACTAAAAGGTATTAATGAATGTATTGAAGTAAAAGTATACACACACGTATGCCTGATCACATTGCTGCTGTAACTAAACAATTTCCTCAATTTAGGATCAATAAAAGTATCAATCTAATCAAAACACATGATGTATTTATTATTCTGAAATGGGCCATTATGCATAATAAGTATTTTCACTTTTGATACTTTAAGTTTATTTTGATGCCAATACTTTTACTTGAGTATCATATTGATTGCAGGACTTTAACTTGTAAAAGTATTCCTAAACTCTGGTACTTCTACTTTTACTCAAGTACAAGATCTGAGTCCTTCTTCCACCTCTGATTGTATGTCATTACTGTCATGCCAATAAAGCTGTCTGAATTTGAATCGAGTTTCCCCTCGGCAGCAGTGTTGACATTTCTGTACAAAGCAGCAAAAAATGAAAATATTTGATGTAAAGTACCTCAAAATTGTACTTAAGTAGTGTAGATAGATACTTTATTTATCCCAAGTTCGGAAATGATTTTGTCACAGCAGCATTTCGACAGTAAGAATACTTATTTACTTTAAACCACTGGTCGTAACTGTAAAAAGCATTGGAAACACTGTATGTCAATATGGTCATGCTAATAAAGCTATTTGAGTTTCCCCTCAATGCATGGCAGCAGTGTTGACATTTCTGTCTGCTAGCAGCACAGATGCCACATATAATCTGAAATCACTAGCTCCCCCTTGCCCTGGTCCTTTGCAATTACGCCAACACAAGGCCTCGTCCCGACACACAGGAGACAAAATGTCGGAATTGCTGAAGTCACATGACTCCTTTGTACTTAGAAAACCACCTCACGTACAAATAAAGCAGAGCAAACCTGCTTATCTCATCCGAAAACCACACATTATATCCCCGCGTAACCATAACAATAACCACCGTCACACCAACGGTCCGTTTAGAACGGAATTCCGTCGTGTTTCTCCTGAGAAAAAACAGCGGCCATTTTGTGTGAAAGCTTGCGCAGAGAAGAAAAAAAAAAAGGAGGGACGCTTCATTAAAAAAAAAATAATAAACCACATAAATTCAACATTTTTAAAATAAATCATACCGATTCCTCTTCTTTCTCCATCCCCGTGGGCATCTGCGGCACGGCCCGGTTAATGGAGGCATACTCGTGCAGGTCGGGTAAATCCTCGCAACGGAAAACGGGCAGCGGCTTGGTAGCGTCCAGAGCTCGCGCCCGAAACGACAATTTACTCATTTTTTCACAACTCGAGATGCAATATAAATCTATCGGATCTCCTGATATTCACAACGGTACCGAGTGGCGCTTTCATGGATGTTTCTGTGCGGTTTTTCTCTACTCTAACGTTGTAAAGCTTGTATTTAGGGCGTCGCCAACGGAGCCGGGGGAAGGGCCCGGATCTTGGTCGCTCTCTCTCGGACTGTTTTTTTCCGACGCTCCGCTCCCTACCGTTGGTTCAGTGCGCCATGGACAACATGGCGGACATTTAAAACTCTTTTGCTCTGTTTCGCTCGCAGCGGTCCAACCCCCAGCGCGCGGACCGACCATTCCCACACGGTCCCGAGCGCTTGCGCGTTGCGGGGGTGGGGGGAAGGGGGGCAAACTGACTGCTTTACACACACACACACTTATATATTAATGATTGCAATTACCGTTAGGCGGAAATATATATATTGTTTATTAAAAAAAAGAGAATCTAAATGAACATGAATGAAACATGAGAAAGAAAAATAAACAAATAAGTAGATCCAATAATTATACTAAATAAGTAGATACTAATTAATAAAAATACACAAATAAGTATACTTACAATGTATACTCCATTTAGTAGATACTAATGAATAAAAGCCAAAAATAAACAAATAAGTAGATAAAATACAATTATACAAAATAAGTAGATCCCAATTAATAAAAGCCAAACAAATTATCAAATTAATAAATGTATGAATAAAAAAAAGCTTGATTTACGTGTAAAACAAAAACAAAAAGTTATGACACAAAATGTTGTTAAATTTGCAGGAGTAGTGAAAGGCATAACTTTTGCTCCTATTTGCATACAACACACGTATTGACTTTGCAGTACATATGTAATATTAAACACCAGTAACATCGTAGCCACAGTTGATTTTCAGTAGTAAATAAAGAGGAATCAAAGCTTATATCAATTTATATTCCATTGTATTAATTCTATTTTTAGGCTTGTTTTTTGTATTTATTAAACCATACTACCATTAGGAATTACAGTAGGCTACACAAAACTACCCTACAATTATAGCAGTAAAAGAAAGCCTCAAACTAAACCTATAACTTTGAATATTTATGTTATGGTAATTAGTGTTATGCTTTTCAGTTTACCTCTTAAAGCAAGATAAATCAAAGATCATCCGTCTAAGTTTATTCCTTTGTGTTCATTTTCGTAGTCATGCGTAAATCCTTAATATATTATTAAAATATGTTCAATAAAAACAGACTACCATTAGGAAATACAGTACCCTAACATTCTAGCATTAAAAAAGCCTCAAACCTTTCAACTTTTTAGTAGACCTTTTAAATCATGAGAAATCAAAAGCTTATTTTCGAATTCATTCTTTTTAAAATCATGCTTTAGTGATATTATTTTTAAAAATGTGACTAATAGTATACCATTACAGGGTGTCCGCGGGGTCTTAAAAAGTATTACAAGTTGATAAATCAGTATATAAATATATATAAATTGTCCAAAGAGGTTGTATTCTACAGTTTGCCTGAATGTAATCATTGCGTAGGTGTGTAGTGTGATTCTGTGTAGTTTATTTATGGCATCCCGTTGGATTGAACGTCATCTGAAGAGGACATCGCACGCTCACTGCTTGATGCACGCGAAGGTCCGTTTACGCCGGTTGTTAAACAACATCGTTATGGGGAAATGCAAGTTTGCGTCCAAATGGTTGGAAGATAAGGAGGAAGGACAATCAATACTGTATATAGTCAATGTGAGGTAAAGTGTGTCGCCAATGTAACCGGTTAAAACTCAAAGTGGCGATGAGGTCTTAAAATGTATGGTAAGGGTCTTAAAAAAGGTATTACATTTGACTTCAGGATTCCTGCATATCCCCTGCATTACACAACTTCCCTACAATTCTGTAAAAAAAGCATCAACTTTTTCCTTTAGTTGAATAAAAATCGACTTTATTTGTTATATATAAATTATGATTTTATGGCGATTGTTTTTATGCTTTTTGTGATTTTACGCCTTTCATTAGACCTTTAAAATCACGAGAAATCAAATGGTTATCTGTTCAAATGTGTTCTGTTTTATAACTTCTCGTTTTAATCATGCTTTAGTTATTGATATAAAAGAATGTTGAAATGTAACTAATAAAAATACCATTATGAGACAATACTACCCTAAAAGTTCTAGCAGTAAAATAAGAGCCTCAAGTTAAACCTAGTTCACTAAAATACCACCTTACTCTGAATTATTATTTTATGGTAATTGGTTTTATGTATTTATTATTAGAACTTTAAAATCATGAGAAATCAAAAGGTCACCTGTCCAAGTTTATTCTGTGTTATAACTTTTCTTTTTAAATCATGCTTTAGTTATTGATATATAACACACGACTACCCTGACATTCTAGCAGTAAAAAAAAGCCTCAAACTTATCCAGTTTACTAATATACTACCTTATTTGATGGTAATGTGTTAATGCTTTTGTGTTAAACAAATCCTCAGCAGGGGTAAGAGTAACAAACTCCACATTATCCACACAAGCCAACGCCTAAAATACCAGAGGAATGACCGGATTACTCGGACCCAGAGAACCTTATCTATCTCTACAACAGCTTTGGAGGAATGTTTATCCCAGGTAAACCTCCTCATGTTCACCACCTCAACACTGTCGCCCTCTTCTGGTGCAACAGGTTAAATATCAGGGCACCAACATGTGTTTTAAAGCAGACAAAACTGCACACAACATTTCCTGAACATTTATACCCAAAAGCAGCTATATTATGCAGTTTGGGTATTTCCAGCAAACCCCAATGGATTGGGAGAATTTATATGCCGCACAACAAAAGCCAAAGACATCTAGAAGGATAATTCATGCTGTATCAATATTGTAAGAATCATTAGAAAGTCTTACCTGTTGATGACATTTTGTTTATCCAGGGTCCACCCAGGGGAACGGAGGGTCACTTTTCATAATTAAATCCACTGATGGCATCATGATGACCTGAAAGCAACAAGTATATTTAGCCAAAAGTACGCATTTTGGGACACTTTCACCATAACACAAAGCTTTAAAGAGGAAGTGACGACTTTGTTACAGGAAAAGATAAAGACACGTGGCACTAGGGCTGCTCAATTAATCGCAATTACGATTTTGGTTTGCAACAATTATGAAATCAACATAATCGAAATAAAACGATTATTTTTTTCAGTTGAATTATACTTAAAGTTCAGGGTAATTAACTGTTAACAAATTATTGATGTTTTCAAAGTAAATGGATAATCGTTTTTAATAATCGTGATATCAATTATTGACCCAAATAATCGAGATTATGATTTTTGCCATAATCGAGCAGCCCTACGTGGCACTCAAGTCAAATTAATTTGAGATTTTCACCTGATTATAATTGCAACGACCACACCTGGCTGTGTTTATAGGTTTCTCACTGAGTGGACTCTTTAGTGTGGTGAATTAGTATTGAGTTTAGTTGATTATATCATTTATCTCGTGGGAATACCATGTTTCATACTGCAACATGATTGGAGAAGGGATACACAATATGATGCCAATTAATAATCAAGTCCTGGATGACAGTGAAGTTGATACACAACAGGCAGGTAGGAAATTATGTAGGAAAAAAAGGGGAATATGATGAAGCAAAGGCCCTGAGTGGTGCAGGAATGAGTCCAATAACTAGAGAGTTAGCATTATAGGACTTCTGGGTTCCCTCATCTCGAAGTCAATGCTTTTTTTTAATGAGTTCTTGGTTCTAGAATCTAGATGCTTGAAATAAGGCATTTCGGCATCTCGAAAACGGTGGTTGCTAACAATTGCCTAAATGAGACTGATAAACGTCATAAGGCCGAACTTGAGAACGCCTTGAGCTTAGCGGGGGTGCCATGTGGTTAGTTTAAAGTATTAGTTTAGCTATTAACTTCTAGCAATTGCATTTATGCTTTACCCTTTATACGTGGTGTTGAATAAAGTATCATAAACATGTATTAGCCACATGTTTTATTTTCTGCAAGTATCCAAAAAGCAATGGAAAAATCCCATTGCTTTTTGTTGAGGAAGTCCATTGTGATGCCAACTTTGGGATTAGCCTATAGAAATATGTCATCACTGCACCACTCTATTGTCAGCAAGTTAGCAGGCTGTCGTTAGCATAAGACTAAAGCTGCTGAAAGTGGCTCATATCTTGTTAAGTCAAAATATGTGCAACGTAAACAGCGGAACCTGAATGCCTCTGGAGGTCACCAACAATTAAAATTAAACTTGAGACCCTGCCTACAGTTCCCTTAAATTCAACTGTTACCTGTCTTCAAGGAAGCCTGACCTGTAATGTTCACTCAACGAAAAAAGGTTGCATTTTTTATCAGGAAAGATTTCTGTTATGCAAAGCAGCTAAATGAATGTCGAGGCAAATAAAACTCCAGGAGAATAATTTGTAATACTTACCAACCGTTTTTATTCAGGTCAAAACTATTGATCTTTTGTGATACCTCCCAATTTTGGGGTTAGTCTTTCCCTTTATGACATTGCTATTAAGCTGTATTGTTGAGGAATGCCTTGAAAATGTTTTAATTTGCGGATAATTAACAGCCTAACTTTTGCATTGGAGTTTGAAGCCAAGGCCTCGGTATGATTACACACAATGACCAAACGTAGGGTGAAATAATTCAATCTTCAAATGAATTATTATGAGCTTGAGTAAAACACATAAACCTACAAATAGAGCATCTCAACCTAAAGCAAACTGTTCTTCTAAACCTCACACTTACTCATAAATATCTACATGTGGGTGGGGTCACACAGGGAGTGGACACAATATCAGGAAAGCACAGGAATCCCCTTTTTGTTGAAGTTTTGGGGATTTACATCTAAATTTGTTGAACTGATATGGTGAATTTGAGCTAATTTGGTATTCTAAGCAGGATTTTCGGGTTTTAAACTACAACCACAAAAAAAAAGGGGATGATGTGAAGTCGTCCCCATCGTTATAAGCCCATGTAGGGAGAGGTGTGTGTTTCAGGAGGGGATCTAAAGTAGATAATGCAGGGGATATGAGGGATTCAGGGCCAAGCAGCTCCCCAACACACCTCAGGAAATGTAAAATCATGTTGAATGACCATAAAAAAGGGAGAATAATGTAGACTTCCAAATTATTATTCATGAGCTTGACATATAAGCCTTTAATGCTTAGTAAAACACGCATAGAACATCTCAACCTAGTAAACTGTTATTCATACTTTGTGCAAGCCTACAAATGTCCCATGTGGGTGGGGTTACCCAGAAAGCTGACACAAGCACAGGAATCCCCTTTTTATTGCAGTGTTTAGGATTTCAATCTTACTTTATTGACCTGATATAGAGAATGTCAGCTAATCTTGTGTTCTTAAATGGATTTTTGAAGAATGTTGAATTAAAATCACTACAAGTAACCATGAGGTCACTCTATCCCTAGCTGGGAGCTTCCCAAATCCATCTTTTTTCTTTTTAAAAAAAAAAGGGGGTTGTTTCTTAAGTCTTCCCCCCATTGTTAAGCCCATGTAGGGAGAGGTGTGTTTCAGGAGGGATCTACAGTGAGTTACAGTAATGCAGGAGATATGAGGGATTCAGGGCCAAGCAGTTCCCTCACACACCACAGTATCTGCCTGGCACTGTTTACCTACACACCCTAAGCCTCTGATCCAACAATGTTATATTTCCAAACCAACATGATACAAAAAAAAACATAATCATGTAAAATAACCCCAAAAAAAGCCCTCATCCACTCTTCAGCTCCACCTCCTGCTGATGGTATCTCTCCATGATAGCCAGTTTCTACTTCTGCCATAAAAGCAACAACTAGTGATCTACATGTATGTTTTTATGCATTAAAAACATGTATTTTCGCCTTAATCGGTCGACATCACGACCTCCCTTTCTCCAAAGGGCTGACATAGTGATGAGGAAGTTTTTTGTGCTGAATTGCATCCAGCTGACCAGCCAGGAATTTGATTGCGTGTATGAAATCATCTGATGCCAGAAAACACTATTCACGATGGGGCCTTTCTGCCGAGCATCGATTCAAGTTACAATAATGAAAGACAACAACAGTAGCGACAAGAAATTACTCACCATTTCGATGTTTCAGCACACGTTGAGAGATTTCTTTTTAAAAACAGATGGGGAACATTTCTGCAAGTTGGGGGAAAAAACGCAACACGACGCAGCTAAGCAAGAGAGACACGCAACTAACACAAGCTAGTTCTTGTCTTTTATAATAAATAAAGAAACACAAACGGTAGCTGATATCCTGGCCAGGGAGAGCCGCTTGTATGCTTTATATCCACCTCGTCAAACAGCGTTTTTGTGTTTTCCTGTCGATGCAAAGCAGGCTGAAACTAGAGAGGTGGAAAAACCAAAGTGCTACTGTTGGGGGTTAACAACTTTGCTGTAAAACGCGGCCTCTGATTGGACGGCAGAAGCCACCAATCAGCTTGTGGAGATGCCAGGGATCGTGGCGTCACGTTCTCACAAGGGCTGAAACGCAACGTGATTGGCTGAATACATACACTATATCCTGTAAATAAATAAAAAAAGACGCGAGAGACATTTAAAATCGATAGTGACTATACTTGTAATCTCTGAAATGTACGTGCGAGAGTACTCAGGTCTTTACCAGAGTGTAGGAATACTCTGTTACAGTAAAAGTCCTGCATTCAAAATGTTACTCAAGTAAAAGTACCAACGTCAACATATAGTTAATGTACCAACAGTAAAAGTAGTGAGATTTGTGCAGATTGGTCCATTTCAGAATAATATATATTATATGTTTTATAATGATTGAGCAATAAAGTGTTCACAAAGCTGGTAAAGATGCAGCTAGTTTGAATGACTTTGTATACTGCAGGGTAGCAGGGTAACAACATTCTGATTTAAGACTTGATTATATTTCACATCATTCATCCACATCTGTAAAGTAACTAAAAAAGGTATTCAATAATTTTTTTTAGGAAAAATGCACATTCACAAAGAGCAATTGACTGACTTTAAACCAAATTTAGCAATGTTGACTAAGAAAACAAGAATAAAAATAGTAAAAAAATAAAAAAGGCAATCAAAACCAAATGTGTTTTCAATAAATATTTTACATGAAATGTTACCTTTTGTCTTCATTTACTTTTTATTAAACATTCAACTTGTGTTTAAATAAATGTCTTTATTTTAAATTACTTTTTTATTAAATATTATCTTTTTAATTAACAATTTTACTTCTTACATTTATATTTTTTTCAGTTTTTGTTGTTGTCCATCTTTTATGAATGTTTTCTGAAATGGAGCAACTGTCACAAAATACAATACATTTTTTGCTAAAGATCATTTGTTCACATCCCAAATAAGAATAATCCCTACCAGTTTTATGTTAACAGAGCAGAATGTAAAAGAGTAAACATTTTGAGAACAACAATGTAGACACAATACTCCACAAGACAGTAAATACACAATAACATTTAAACAATATAGGGGTACATTGTTTTTGATGTTTATTCAATAAATAATTTCAGAAATACAGAATAGCAAATGTGAATGTGTTGAAATAAAAAAGGCACTTAAAAAATGGTGACGGGTGCAATCTTTTTTTTCTTTACAAAAATCCTGGAGATCTGAAAATCGTTCCCTTACCACCGATCTTTAAAACCAAATGACATTATCATTCCTATTTCTTTCCAATAAAAATGTTTTGATCGTAGCACCACAGAAAAAGTTTGGCTGAATTACTGACGCATAGAAAATAAAAAGTGGGACCAATCCCCATTTCATACCTACAAATAAAAACAAGGCATTTCAATAAAAGAGTTAGCGAATAAGGCAGGTTTGCGTGTTTTTGGCATAGCTGTGAAGAATTAAAGGACCTGAGTTGGCTTTAAATTAAGCGAGTAAAACCTGGAGCCAAACGGTAATACTACTGTACACTCGACTTGTTTTCTAGACATTTCAATTGATTGTTCAGACGGAGAAAGTCACACTATCCTGTTCTGTGGATACATATATGGCTTAACACAGAAACCAAAACATACTGTACACATTTCATTGCTACCACTCTGCTGGCGCTACATGTGAAGAGTTTCAAACCAAAGAGACTTTAAAAAAAAGACGCCTGATCAGTTTAAAAAAAGAACGCAAAGACGGCAAATCAATCGTAAGACTCGGCTCACTGTGTGTTCGACTCATTGATTCTTTTGGAGAGGAACCCTTCATTTGTTGCCCATCATCAACATCCATTTTAAACCCCTCGACAAAACACTGATGGCTCTATACATGCACAGACGATACCTTGCCAGTCCCGCGGCGGAAAAACTACGAATCAGTTCAACACATTCTCTCAAGTTCCGCATAGTAAAAAAACAAAACATTTACAGACTGTACACATTTCAGATGAAGCATAGAAAATAAAAAAAGTTAGTAAAACAAAATGAAATAGTGGCAAAATGCATTGGTGATTACAACAAACAAACAAACAAACAGTGAGCATTATAAACCCCCCCCCCCCCCCGTCCCGCCTGTTATCTTCTCCATACAGTGTTGTCACAAGGAAGGAAAGCTGCATCATTTGCCCTCGTACTTTGGATTGACGACAGTCGTTACGGCACTTTTGTAGATCGGATTCTCACCCTGAGAAATACAGAGAACAACGAGAGTGAGTACAACCGGTGTGACGTCAAACTGATTAATAGAGAAACACATCAATGACACGTTTACACACACGAGCCACATTCTGTCACAGTTGTGATCATGGACCCCTCGTTTCTGCTGTGTGATTGTGATGTGCTATATGTGACGTGTATGTAGTAACGCGTGTCGTTTGCATTTTATTGTTCTCTTTTATCCTTTCGCCTGTATCTACTTGTCTTTCATCCTTTCTTTATAACTAATGCTGTTGATGTATTGTGATTTTAAAAAGGTGTTTATCATCTGGTCGGGAACAACAGCTGGAAATGAGCAATGTTGGCTAAAGCTGCCCCAATTACTGTTTTTTGTGACAGTTGATCAATGGGGACTGTCCACGCCACTATAAAGAAATAAACTAAACTACATTTTAGTTTACTGCTTATTGTATATTCACTGTATTGTTATATACACATTTTTACTGTTGATACATTACATGTTACTTGTTAGACACTTTAATCCAAAGCGACTTCCATGCACTCAATACAGTGAGCAATCCCCACAGGAGCAACTTGGGGTGAAGTGCCTTGCCCAAGGACACAACGACATGCTGACTGCAGTGGGGATTGAACCTGTGGCCCCCTGATCCGAAGAGCTTTACTTTAACTACTTATCTGCATTAATTATTGTATTTGTTATATATCGTACGATGTGCAGGTTAACCCCTACTTTTAATCATTATATGAATATATATGTTTTTATTGCAAATTTCTTTTAACTTCTTATGTTTATATATATTTTTTCCATTTTATTGTTATTATTGCCAATTCTTTCTTTCACTTATTTATATTAAAGGTCCCATGTCATGCTTTTCTGGTTATTACCCGTCCCCTTGTGTGTTATGAAGGTGTTTCTGCATGTAAACGGTCTGCAGAGTCACAAACCCTCAAAGTACACCCTGTAGCGAGTAAAACTCTAACACAGAAAAGACCTGTCTATGCTGCCCCAGAACGCCTCGTTGGACATTTCTCTTTTTCCATTGGTTACTTCTTGGGTATAGTGACGTAACGTAACGGCTCCGCAGATTGGTTACGTTACGTCCGTGGAGCCGTTACTACTTATTTGCAGTAATTATTGTATTTTTGCACACTTTAGCTTTTAACTTGTTTATATAAATATTTTAATCCCATTTTATTGTATCTTATATTGCACGTTTGTGATAACTTCTTATGTTTGTATAAATATGTGTATTCTATTTTTCTTTTTGTTGCACATCGTTACTTTTAACTTCCTACAAAGAAAATCACATTCTGTGCATCTCTACTCAGAAATAATGTTGTCACAACAACAACATGTCTAAACCCAAAGCAGATCAAGATGGAGTTTTACAGTATCACAGCACACAAGAACACACAACGAGCATGTGGCCACTTTGTTTGTCTTTCTCACAACTGTGTGTGTGTGTGTGTGTGTGCGCGTGCGTGTGCGTGTGTGTGTGTGTGTGTGTGTGTGTGTGTGTGGCCGTGGTGTTGACTGCTGCAGGCGACTGTTAGTGTCAAACTGCCACTCTCAACAAGGATCTGCACCTGAGGCTGACACTGAAGTGTGATTGGTAGCTACAGAAAACCCTTCGGTGAAACTGTACAGAACATTTTAGGTTTTTAGGGCTGCACCTAACATAGGATTCGATTATCGTTTAACCCGCCCGGATTATTTGGTCTATAAAGAGTCAGAAAACGGTATAAAAAAAGGTTTGTCTTTTGCTTTGTCACGCACACAACCAACTATTAGATTGACCTGTTAAACCCCTTTGTATTTTTATGATCCATACTCTAAACACGTTTGAGTCATTGTATTTTCAGACTCTTGGTTTTCTGGCTGATCAGACTTTTTGATCTGCTGTCTTATAGTTTGAGCAGTTTTCAGGGTAAGATTTCTCACATCACTGCTGTCAAAAAGCCTGTCTCAAACTGAAGTGAGCTCGTTTTGACTAACCAAAATCTTGGAGGTCAAACAAATCGATCACCTTAGTTCAATTTGGAAAGTAAGACGTATTTTCCTCTAAATATACAAAGCAATAGCAATGGTTTTTATTATGAAACATAAGTTTTGTGTGTTTTTTACGACAACAATTGGGTTTTAAATGGTTTGTTTATCATAAAAAATGATTGTAATTACTTAATTTGATCTGAAAAATGTACTGCATAAACATAGGAAGGAAGTAGGATCTAAATGAGAGGTTCAAATAAAAACTTCTCAATTTGAACAGTTTTTTTTTTTTTTAATATGTGGTGACTAGCATTAAGGGAAAAGCCCAACATCACAGCAACTTCAGTAACAAACAAACGCCACTTGTGTTAAGCTTTCTAGTTTCACAACATGCCGTCACTTCACTGCAAACCCACAGAAAATCAGTCGGGGTGTGAAACGGAGAAAACTCATGCAACGGGCGGTACGAACTTTGACCTAAAGAGAAGCGCCTTTATTCCCATAGCTGGGATTCTGGAACTGGTTAATAGGACTCTTGTAAATGGGGTTTCCTTGCTGACATGGAGAAGGAAGGAAATGGGAAAACAGGACAACAAGAAGTGAAGAGAAGCAGGAGATACAGCAGTGTGAAAGAAAAGACATGAACGCCTGAAAGGAAACACAGAGCAGAAAAACTAATGATCTCTGATAGGAACTCATTATTGTTGTGATGTTATGCTGGACAACATGTTCCCATCTCTTGCCCCTCAAACAGGAAGAAGGAGAAGAAGGAGATTGCTAACTTTTTAGAACGATATCTTTATATATATATTTAATATGTCTATTTTTTTTTAGCTCAATTCACAGAAAATGCATCTCGAGGAAAAATCCATCCGAGTAAAGTCAAGATAAATAGGATTTTCTTTTCATCACTCTAGTAATGATCATATGCTCCCCTGTAATGGCACGACACATTTCAGATTATTTTACTGTTATTATTTATTAATGTTTTAGTTATTTCCAGTAATATCTGAGTGATAAAACTTCACAAGGATATCTTCACTTTCATTTGCTCTCATTTTACAGCAGGTCTGTAGGGAACAAACCCACACCGCTGGTCTACTTGATCTGATTGACTCTGGTTTACCATAAAAAGTAAAACCTCCCCGTCATCACTCGCTTATTTATCAAGACAAAAATAAAAAGGAACACATTTCTTCCATTTTTTTAAAACTTAAATTAACTTTGAAGTGTGTCTACTTTCTTCCGCTTAAGAAATAAAGTGACACATTTACTGGTTATTCCCCACAAACACCATCTGTCCAAGGACCAACATCTCTTAAGCAATGATCATATGTTCTCCTGTTATGGCACAACCAATTGCAATTCAGATTATTTTACTGTTATTATTTATATTTATACTTGTATTTTTCTTTCATTTTATACCAGTTTGATAGGTAAAAAAAAAACCTATCAACGTCTAATCATCACCGGTACAAAAAAGTTTGTGAAAACATCCCTTTCAGCAGCAGCTACTTACCTACACTTTGCTCATTTAAGATACGATACAAAAGCAACAAATACTGTGTAATGCATCTACTTTCTTCCGCTTAAGCAATAGTGACACATTGTCTTTTCCCCACGAACACCATCTGTGTTTAAAGTCTGTTCCCTTCCCCCCCCCCCATAGAGAGACTTC